TTTGTATTCTGCCTCCGGTAATTCCAAGAAATTTTCCTCCTCTGGATAATTTCTAGATTCTTTATTTTGGGAGCTTGCTGAAGCCATCATGGATTGCCTCTTTATATGATTTTATATTGACTATTGTCTCCGCGTTGTCAGTAAGTTATTATATTTGTTTATTTTATGTTTGCTTACTTTGTCCTAGCTTCTTTTTTTGTTTTAATATGCCCAAATAGGCTGCTCGTGTGAGCTAATTTGGTTATTGGCACCTTCGAAGCTCTAATGTCCTGTCACCAGGTGGTTAGATCTGTTACTAGGTATGTGAGCTCAGGAGTCCGCCCACTCCTCCTGTATGGATTCAGCTCAGGTGCCCAGGTAGATAGATAGCCACGAAGTGTGTGGTGTAGCTTCTCACTGTCCTAGACAGGCATAGGTGATTGGTGTAGGCACAGGCATCTGGCTGCAGCAGGGGGACGTGCTCTGAGCAAGGCAGGGGGCTGACGGCCACCCCGATTGTCCAGGAGGAAGCCATGTCCCTGTTCCCTAGAGCCTGTAGGTGGGTGGGTTTTGCAGCCAGACTATGAGCACCTAATGCTGTTGGCTATAACGACTGGGGGGCACCTCTTATTCATGGGCCCTTTCGCAGGTGGCTAGGTGGCATGGGTGGAGACACCAGTCCTCAGGCCCCTGATGTGAGTAGGTGAAGAACCTGCCACTTCACAGCTGAAACAGTTGAAGTTAGAGTTCTGGTATATACCCTGTTGTACTGCAGTAATGAGGGCCTGCGCTGTTGAGATGGGCCCACACAAGTCTATGCAGGGGGAAAGACACTCAAAGTCCGTGGATCCCTTATGCCTGTGTCTAGGCAAAGGATCTGTGCCTACCCTGACTTCCTGGCTTAGGGGAACCGGCAGTTTATTTTTTCCCTTGTTTGTTAATTTGTTCACTCTCCAAGGCAGGGAGAATGGCTCCGGGCGTGTGACAGATCCTACTTCTGGTCCAGGGGACTCGGCAATTGCTGAAGTCGGTCTGGGACCCAATGCAGAGCAGGGAGCAGGGAGGTAAATGGGAGAGAGGTTTTTCCCCTAAGGGGGGTGTTTTTGATCCGCGCCCTAAGCCATATGCAAGTACTTATCTTTCCCTGATGAGGGCTTCTTCTCACTGGTTTTGGGTGGCCGTGTAGACCCTGTGGCTGTGGGTCTCTCCCAGTGCGGAAAACACTCCTCCCAAGCACTGCCGCTTGCCTGCCTCACCGTTCACCCATGAGCTGCTGAGGCCTGAAGGGCTCAGGCTCTCACTGGGTCAGGTCTGGCAACTTCTTGCTGCTTCTGAACCATCTCTCCCTCCCCCTCCCACTCCCACTCAGTGTGGTTCCTCAACTCTGCCTTTGGTGTTCAGGGCTCCCAGATTACCATATATAATTGAATCACTTGTTTTTATGGGTGTTCATTGTAAGAGGGTCCACCGGAAGCGTCTGACTACTCTGCCATCTTGGCCCCGCCTCCTCTGCAGTAGCTTCTTTACAAAGGATTTTCAAATGCTGGATTGTTATTCAATAGAAACTAGAAAAACACACTTGAGATATGTGGCTTTCTAATAGGCATTCTATCATAGCATCACACAGGGCACTAAGAGGGGCCTTGGGCTTGGCAGATGGAACAGAAGGCTGGGAATCCGAAACTCACTTGTTCTGGCTGTGCTCTCCTGGAAACTCTCTGGGTGACCTTGAGCAAATCCTGTAGCCTCACCATCCTCTTGGGTGTCTCATTTCAAATGCAGATGCCCTGTTTGCTCAGAGGTGTTGGGGGAAGTAACTAACACATTCATAAAACTATGTGAAGGTTCTTGATGCCAATCAAGAGGATAGATGCTATTTGAGAGCAAAATGACATAACATGCAAGCAATTAACATATGCTATTGGAGAAATGCCCAGAATGTCTTCTTAAGCAACAGATAACGTAATGAGAGGAAAGCCACACCAGAGAGAGAGGATGATTTCTGAAAAGCTCATCATTTTCTCCATTTTAAACAACAAAAAAATTTAAAAAAGTAAAAAATTGCCTCAAAATGAATGATCTTACCGTACTAGCTAGAAGTTTTCTAAGAGAACAGTTCTTTCCTTTAAACGGATATGTATTCTTTCAGGAGAATTGAAGAACAAAGCTCAAGATGCCAATTGAATTGTCACATGGAGTAACTTTTGACAAGCCCGTCGTTTGTCCTTTTTCTTTTCTGACCCAGTGGTACTTTGAGATCAGAGGGGAGGGCAGGATTGGTGTCGTTGTCCACAGAGGAATACACAGTTTCTTTCAGAAAGAAATTCCGCTTGTTAAAGTTGACCAGGAAAAATGAAGCACTTGGCAGTACGTCATAGTCATGTGTTGAATTTACCTTCCCTGTTATAAGTCCAGTGCCTTCAGCTGTTACCCCTGAAATGTAGCTTTTTTTTTTTCCTTATGCAGTTAATCATAGTGCACTCAACATGGGAGACTACAACATTTCCATAAGTGTAGAAATAGAGATGATTTTACTTCACTTTATGCCTCCTCTCCTCACCATAGAGTTTAAGCCAAATTATTTCATGTTTTTGTTTGTTTTCCCCCAATGGGTATACAGCACAAGCAGAGGCAATGGACACCTGTTTTGACATAGTTTTCCTTTTGAGGGGAGAAGTGGGTCTACCTGTGATGGTGATGGGGCACACGTGTATACTAGGCAGCAGCATTTGAATCCAGCCATCTAACCTCAGGTATCAGAGCACAGTGAACTCCCATGATAAATGAAGAGCGATTACGAGGATTTCTTTGTGGTTCTAACACATCTTTTTTGGCATCCAAGCACGGGCTGTATACTGGGAGTTGGACTTGTTCTGTGTCTGATGAGCCACAGCAGCCACACGGAATCCCGGGTCCACGTGGCAGCATCGCTTCGAAAGCTCTCTACATACCTAGATGACAGTGGGAGCCAGAGCAGAACGTTTCAGGAGGTAGGAGGTGGAGGTTACGTTTTTCTTCTGTTTGCTGTCTCTTGTTTTCCTGATGCTGTTTATTTTCTACTTCTCGTATTTTAGTAACCTTGTAAATTAAATTCTTTCTCAGTTTCAACTGGCGTAAGGAGAAAATCTGAGTGGCACACAACCTATATTAGATCATAAGGCTTTCAAATTGTGCAGCTGTTTAAATCAACTTAGACTTAAATGTGGCGTATAAGATAAGAGCCTTTAGTGAATACAAAACCCTAAGTCAGCATCACTAGAAGGCACTTTCTAAGAAGAGCTGCAATTTCTGGAGGAAGGTTAAATGGTGATTTTCAGAATTTTGTTCAAGCCAAGTGTAGCTTTAGAAAATGGCCAGGAATAATTTTAAGATACTACAAATCAAGAAGGCTTTTTTTTTTTTTAATGGAAAATTATTGAGGAATTTCTCTTTACCATGCTTAATAGAAAGGTTTTTCTGTAATGATGCAAAAATATGCAGCATTGTAATGCATGTGACATAATCCATGTGTGTTAATGCCTAGATGGAAGGTTTTAGGCATGTGTCCTGCCAATCTCTGTTTTGCCCAGGTGAAACCAAAATGTCTGTGCTGTTCTTTGGGAGGAGCAGGGGATGACCTCGTGGCCTGGCCAGATTCTCCCTCTCGTTAGAGCAGATTCTATTTTATCCCGGTCTGCCCACCAGCTATTGATGAGTACATAATGGTGGCTGTGTTTCCCTGCTCAGTTCGCTGCTTTCAGCAATAGATTTATTGAATTGGTGAATTTCTTTGGGGCACGGAGGGTTGAAGTTGCAGGACATGCACTGCATTTCCATTTTTAAAGCGGTGATGAGCGTGATTTAAAAGTGTATCTTTTTTTAAGCCAAAGGGGAAATTTTCCAGACAGACGAGCAATTTGACTAATAAATGAAAGCAAAGTTTTTACAATTGAGGCATCTGTCTGCCTTCATGTTTTGATTTATAAGGCTGTAAGCAAGCAGTTTTTTCTTTTTTTTTAATCCCTTCTGAAGTTTCATTACCCAATTTCTACCTTAGAAAGCGCTTACATTTGTCATGTTGTATAAACCAGTGCTAGCAGTTGAAAAGTTTCCACTCTGTCTTAACAACATCCTTATAAGGGAGGGTTTAATCATGAAAATGTGAGGTAGCAGGGGAAGGATGATAACTCTGATTTGCAAAAACTGAGGCTCAAATAGATTAAGTGACTTGCCCAAAGTTACTTACCCAATAAACAGTCAATTTGAGAGAGACGCTGAGTGTTTCTCCACTCCCGACATTCTTTTCTGTTTATTTATCCATTTTTGTGTTTATTAAATTCTCACAACAGTGCTATGAAGTGAGTAGTATCATCCCATTTTAAGCAATTTATCTGGCTCTGAAACCCATATTCCTGTTCCATTATGCTTTACTGCTTCTGCTGTTATTGTTGTTAGTTGCTGTCAAGACAACTCCATGTACAACAGAACAAAATGTTGCCAGATCTTGCACCATCTTCATGATCGTTGATATGCTTGACTCCATTGTTACGGTCATTATATATTTTGAGTGCCTTACGACCTAGGGGGCTCATCTTCCAGCACTATATTGGACAGTGTTCTATTGTAATTCTTAGAGTTTTCATTGGGTATTTTTGGAAGGAGACTGCCAGGTCCTTCTTCCTAGTCTATCTTAGTCTGCAAGCTCTGCTTAAACCTGTCCGCCTTAGGTGACCTGGCTGGTATTTGAAATACCAGTGGCATAGCTTCCAGCATCACAGCAGCAGTCAAGCCACCATAGCACCACAAACTGACAGATGGGTGATAGGCTGCTTCTTCAAGGAAACCTAGAATGTAGTGGCAGTGTTTCACTTCCTCTTTGTGTATCTTCTCCTGCTTGGCCTTGCATAGGGGTACATGCCACTGGTGCTAAAAATCTGTTTTTGCTGTTAATAGATGCTATGTTCTGACATGATGTGGGAGGAAACATTTGATTTAAGAGTCTGAAGACCTGGGTCTGAATCGTCCCTTTGTCACTTGCTAGCTATGTGTACTTGAGCCTCAGAGTACTGATCTGTAAAGTAGGAGTAACAATACCCATCTCATGACATTGTTATGAAATAGAGTAATATAAGTTAGGCAGCAAAACAGTGCCCAGTCTAACTCCTTCTGAAGTTTCATCACCCACTTTCTACCTTAGAAACCATGTACATTTGTTATGTTGCATAAAACAGTGCTAGCAGTGGTAGATGTATTGAATCCAATTCTTATTCTGGGAAGAACTTTGACAGAATGTTTGTGTCAACCAAATTGTGTGCTTTTACTTTTCTTCATGAAGAAACATTTTTCTGCTGTATTTTTTTTCTCAGGTCCTTGCCTATACCCTTAGCTGTGTATGTACGTCAGCGTTCAGTGCTGGAATTATCGAGGCAGCAGAGGCTGAAGATATTATGAATAAACTTCGGCTGTTAGTAGAGAACAACCAGCAGGTTGGAATGCATGCCCTGATTATTTCTCTCTGTGGGTCTCATGCTGCTGATAAGTCTGATTTTGACTTACTCTGAATTAGATGATAATAGGCCATTTTTCTTGCCACAACTGAGGAACTTCTAACTCTTCTCTCACAGCTATATCCAACAGTCACAGATGTCTTTTTCTGTCCTTAAACCGTAACTTCTCTGTAGACCTTTCTTTCTCTTTGCCTGAGAGTACTGAAAGCTTTTTACTCTCTTTAACCATTGCTCTGTGTTCATAAAATCCTAAAACATGTGACTAGGGAATGTAAGGGTTATATGAGGATAGAGCCTTGAATGACAAAAGTTTGAAAAGAGATGAATACTTCAGGGACCCCAGTAAGTTCAGACTTGAGCAAATTAAAGTCAGAAAATCTCTGCTCATGACTGAATATGTAGAAGAAAATTTAAATACCCATAAATCAAATTAAATACCCTTAAAATGTTTCCCCTGATTACATATGCTATAGAATTTCCCCGTTTGAATTTCTTTTTTATGTTTCTCCAAACTCTTGATATTGACCATAGTGGATTAATACAGGATTCACTGGTTTTAAGCATCTAACAGTGTTGTTTCTGTTTTTAACATGGTTATATGCCCATTCACTTACATTCAGATTAAGTTTTGCAACACCAAAATGTAGAAGTTTGCATATGTTGTATCCATTCTGGGAAGTTTTCTTTTCTTTTTTGGGGAGCTGACTGGCCTTGTGTGGCCTAACTACCTTGGTAATTTCACCCTGACCCCTTCTGATAATTTGGATTGTTGAAGCTAAGTCACTCAATAGTGAAGTATTATTTTCCTAAAATAAACCACTCACTGAAGCTGGATTCCTTGCAATTAGACTCTGCAGTTTCTGTTGCAAACTAAAGTGTAGATAATAAAACATCTGCACATCACTGATTGTCAGATGGCAAAAGAACTTGTCAGTAGGAAAGAGAGTCCCCAGAAGTGCTCGTGTTGCTATGTATAAACATTCCTAATCTGTATCTTTTTTTTTCTTTTTCTCACTCTGTTCTTATTTATTTAACAGACTTCAGGTTTTGCCCTGGCATTAGGAAATATAGTTCATGGTTTGTCTGTGTGTGGACACGGAAAAGCTGAAGACTTGGGCAACAAACTGCTTCCTGCCTGGATCAGAATTGTTCTATCAGAGGTAGAGGCCACCTCCTGCGTGTTATTTTATACTTATATAAAGGAAAAAGAACTACTTTATTGGACCATTTATAGGAGGTGCTAAGATATATTGCTCAACAATAAAATGACAGGCAATTTCAAATGAAAGACACAGCCAACTATCCAATATACTTTTAATTCCTTAAAAATGATGCATCCTGTTACCTGTAACAGTTTTTTAAACTAGCTGTTTTGTCAGTGCCTTAGTTTTAAAATATTGTGCTTTTTGAAAAATAAAAATAACAAATATCCGTATATGATACAACAGCCTTAATTTGTTAGTTTATTTGTCTGCTGCCATTTTTTGGTCAATTATACAGGTTATGTTGACCTACCCAGTTTAGTATCATTTTGACTCAATGGTTTATTTCTGTATGGTATTGTTAAGTTTTATAGAATCCAAATCCAATGACTATTTCCCACTTGACATGTTCTGGTGCTTTGTTTTCAGGGCACTCCCACGATGCTTTGTCTGGCAGCTCTTCATGGCATGGTGGCCTTGGTAGGCTCTGAAGGGGATGTAATACAGGTAAAAAAAAAAAAAAAAATGAAAGAAACTATCTGTTGAGGGGAAGAAATCTAAATGTATACATAGCCACAGCAGACAGAGAGTACCCATTATCTTAATATGCTAAGGACAGAAGAATATATACTCACAGTAATGACTGTTATACTAAGCATTTCAGTGCCTTTCTGTGTGAAAAATTGCTCTTAGCCAATAATTCTTTCTTTAGAGATTTGCTTCTTGTTTTATTTGGTTTGTAGGGATTAAACCTGGTCGGCTTGTGTCCTTTCCTCAAAGTTCTCTGCCTGAGAGAAGGTGATTGAATGATAAGAAACTTCTAAAGTCATTCACAGAAAACTCCGTTTGTATCTATAATCTTTCAATTTTTATTTATGTAATTATTCTTTTACTTCAAAAATGTTTTCAGTGGATACATATATGTGTCCAAAAACAACCAAACCCATTGCTGTCGAATCGATTCCAACTCATCGTGACCCTATAGGACAGAGCAGAACTGCCCAATAGGGCTTCCAAGGAGCAGCTGGTAGATTCGAACTGCTGACATTTTGTTTAGCAGCCAAATGCTTAACCACTGTGCTCCCAGGGCCCCACATGTGTATGTATGTTACCAATAATTCAAAGAAATTCCTATACTGGTTCAATAAAATTTACCGAATGCTGCGTGCCATGCTGCACTGGTCTAGGGAATCAAAGATAAGTAAAGCATAGGCCCTGCCCTTGAGGCACTCATAGTTTATATTTTTGAAATATTAGTACATTACGAGGAATTATTCCATAACTGAGATCATGATAGCTTATACACTGGAAATATCATTCATTATTTATTTATTTTGGTGGGAGTTGTTGTGGATATGTCTCCTTATTCTTTCAGCTGAAGTCAGAAGCCATCCAGACCTCTGAGTTTCAAGGCAGACTTAATGAAGTCATTAGAACCTTAACTCAGGTGAGAAGAGGGATTTAAAATCCTTGGATGGGAGAACAGATATCCCCTTTGGTGTTTTTTTTGTTTTTTGTTTCTGTTTCACAATACATTATGTTTTTCTGGAAAGTGAGGACTTACCTAGTTACACTGAGTTCATGGGGCTTTTGGGAGTAGCTTACGGTTGGTCCTGCAATCACTGCCACACATGTGCTGCCTCTGGAAAAAAAGAAAGCTGGCATTTTTGAGTTAACTTCAGTAGATATTGGTTCCCCCTAAAAATTAAACCTGATCCTGCAGGAATGTGCCCTCGGGACAAGGAAAAATAGAAGGGGATCAAAGGGCGGAGCAGATATAGCAAGTAGAGTGGTCAAGAGGCACTAGTTCAGATGTGACCCCTACAAGTGTTGGGGTAAATCATTGTCATAGTTACTCTTGGATAAAGAATAAACGTATTCATCTGCTGAGAAATATTTTTACTTTTAAAAAATGGTCATGTTCATTGCATAAAATTTGAAAGTACAGATTGAAAGAAACTAAAAAAAAATCACTGACATCCCAACCTGAAGAAACCACTACTAATATTTGGTTGTATTTCTTTTTAAGTATTCTTATTTTCTTTGCAATAGTTGGGATTCTTACTGTATGTAAGACATTGTATTTTTTTCTTTCACTTAGCATACTTGTCTTCATTTTTGTGAAATGTAGCTGATTGTAATACCTACCACATAAAGTAGTTTTAGTCATTCATGCTTTTAAAAGCAAACATGAATTTCTGAATTTAAAAAACTCTTTTGCATGTATGAATATTAATATTCTTTAAAAAATAATTCTACTGTAACTTAAGTTGCTATGCTTTGGAAGAAAAAGCTGTAAATGCAAAATATTATTGGAAGCATGTGTATTATGAACGATAAAGTGGTAATAAAACACTGCTGTTGCTGCTAAGTCGATTCTGACTCATAGCGGTCCTAGAGAACAGAGTAGAACTGCCCTATAGGGTTTCCAAGGCTGTAATCTTTATGAAAGAAGACTGCCACATCTTTCTCCCAGAGCGGGTAGTGGGTTCAAACCACCGACCTTTGGGTTAGCAACGGAGCGTTTAACCATTGTGCCACCAGAGCTCCTTAAAGTAGTAATAGAACCTTGTTATTTAGAGAACAAAATTATAGCTCCTATTTGTATAGGTATTCTAGTGGTAACTATCACCTCTTTTCTGTTATGGATTTTCATTTACCATTTTCTAAAAATTCCTTTGAGACCAGCCTGACTCAGTGAAAGCTAGTACCTTTTGCCATGATTGATCAGTTGATTGATTGCTTTGCAGACACTTGTTGAGCGCCTGTTATGTCCCAGCAGTAGTATACTAGATACATGATATTACATCTTGTTATAGAACTTCTCATTACCAGCCAAGCTACCAGCTCATAAAAGATTAGTGACTTGCTCTAGAGTGGCCTTTTATTAAGGATATTAAAGGGAATTTTGATCTTACCCTATCATTAAACTGTTAAAAATTTTTACCCATAGGTCATCAGTGTCTCTGGGATGATCGGCCTTCAGTCAAATGCAATCTGGCTTCTAGGACATCTTCATCTATCTACTCTCTCCTCAAATCAAAGTAGAAGCTCTGGTAAGATTAGAGTCATAGAATACTAGTGCTCAAAGGAGAGACTGCTAACTCAGTACTGTGCCTTTTGTTAAGAGCATTAATCTTCACAACAACCCTAAGTGGTGGGTATTACCATCCCTATTTTGTGTCAGAGGTAAATGGGGTGTGGGGAGGTTTTGTGACTTGACCAGGGGCAGGTGGCAGTAAATGGTGACCATATAGCTTGAACACAAATCTGTTGGCCTCCGAAGCCCCTGCTCTTTTCACTCCACCTGTCTGCCTCCCTTAGAAATCAGTTTGGATGTACAGTCTAACTTCCATATTTTACAAATGAAGACCTTGAGGCTCAGAAAGATTACTTGAATTACATACAGTTAGTGTAGTAAAAATTCCAGGAACTAGGAACCAGTTCCTTGAAGCTTGGGGCAGGGTTCTGTTGATTTTCCTAGTTACAACGGTGGTTTGTATAGTATTCACGTTTCATTAAAAGTCTCTTCATATATGGCTGGAGTTTTTAAGGCCCCTGGTTTTCATACAATAATGGGGTAAGTACAGTTAAAGGTGTGCACCTTCTTGGCCTTGGAATTGAAATTCTGGGTCTTAATATAACAAGGCTTTTCTATCTCTCTAGCTTTTTGATAAAAGCAATAAAAAAACTTTGCAATTCCCACGTGCTTGATTTATGTTTTTACTTGGAGATTTGGCGGGGGAAGGTATCACTATTAATACACTAAGAACTACATCTGTTCCTTGCTCTTTATAGAATTTTGACCCACTGGCTATCTTGGACCTAGGCCAAACAGATTTAGGTACCAAAGATTCCTCATTAAAACCTAGCCTCACATATCCACTGACAGGTAGTCTAAGGACAGCATTAGTGCAAATGAGGGTCACTACGATTACTGTTTCCCTCTCTTTCAATCACTCCTCAGCTATAGAAATAGGACATTGTTCCACAGCCTTCCCAACACAATGAACTTTAGACAGCTGGAAGCTATCATATTAAAATGGGAAAAAGAAAAAACAAAACAAAGCAGAATCATATTGGAAACCCTTGGTAATGCCAGTTTTGAAGGGCAGGGCTCTCACAGAGTCCTATTAAAATAGCATGTTTATGTCAGCCTTTTGCTTTTCTCTGTTTGCTTTTCATTGTTATGTTATAGGGTACACGGTCTGGCCCATGTACTTTCAAATCAGGTAGTAGTGAATCATCTTACACCTAGGCTCTTATGAGCAAAATGATTGTATGTCTGGAAAAGTATAGCTTCTTGTTCCTTATGGAACTTTCCAGTTGAACCATTTATTGCAGTAGAAACCATCTCATGAAACAATTATAGGGGACAAGGAGGAAGAGGATTTAGGAGACTCTCAGGACTTAACTAGCATGAATGTCACTGCTTCACTGTTCCAGGTCAGCAACCACATCTGGTTATTTGCACATGGTGGTCACTTAGAGGTCTCTGCCATATGAAGTAAGACACTGGCTGCTATTAATACTGGTTGTTGAATTTGCATGGTTCATATATCTGATTCAGCATGTCCTGAAGTGGCCCCTGGAATGGTGGTCTCAGCACAGAAGCCCAGCTGACTCCTTGCTGACCCTGACGAGGTCACTGGGTTGGGGTTCATTGATGTGACAATGTGGAAAGAATTTTTTTAACCACTTCGATAAAGTTTTCATCCTCTGTGATTTTACAGCCTCTACGAGGTTTGCCACCATTTTTTATTTGCTTTCAGAGCCTCAGTGATTACTTCAAGGCCAGTCACTTAATCTAATAGAATTAGTTGCAGCCAGAGAGTATTGTACCAAGATTAACAGCATAAACATCTCCACTTTGTCTCTAGGTTGATATGGCAGGATGAGATCATTATCTTTCCTTCATTAGTCCCGCCAAGTTCACTGGTTAATTTGATCATTTGCTGTCTCCACAGTTCCTACTGACTATAGCTATTTGCCTGAAAGCAGTTTTATGAGAGCAGCCATTGGCTTCTTCGTTACGGGAGGAAAAAAAGGCAAGTGAGCACATTTCTTGAATTTTATCATTTTTTTCTACATGTTACGTAAGTTTGTGTGTCTTTAGCATGCCTTTGTAGAATTAAGCAATACAGATCTGAAGCAGCGAATATCTCTTTTTTGCTGTTCAAGCTACACCATCTTTGTAATAGAGATGACCAGGAGGCTAACAACAGAAAATGGTACATAAACATACTTACTTTGTAGTCTCTTAGAAATCACTGTACCTGAGCTTGGGTGGCTCTGTGAAGACTTTAACCATCCATTTGGCTGTTTCAGAAGTCTAAGTGTGCGTTACTTTTCTTATCAATTTCAACTGAGTGTGATCTAATAAGAGAAAACACACCTGGAGACAGTTTGTATCCCAGGCCCTGTCTTGGAAGCAGGTCTTCTCCCTGAACCTTGTACGAGCACTTGGTGTTGCTGGAATCATGGGCTCCAGTTCCTCCTTTTAGCTTTTGTTTTTCTCTCTAAACATTTTTCTGTCTGTGACTCTGTGTTGCTGCCACCCACAGTAGAGCACAGACAACTTGAAGACAGAGATTGAGTGCCTTTGTTTTTAACTGTAGCCAGAATAATGCCATGTAAATTATTGAATAAATGCTCTTTAATGATACACATATACTCTTCAGAGCTGTTAGAGGAAAAATGGGTCAGAACTGAACACTGTCTTGGCTCAGGAACCAGTCTCATTAATGTAATGTTCTCTCATTGATGCTTGCTAGTTTTATCCTTCCTTGGGCAGGTCAGTCTGGGCAAAACCAGAGTCTGTATTACAGCAAGACCATCCCAATCTTAGAGAAAAAAAAAGTTAAAGAAAATTAGAACAAAAGACTAGAAGTAATCTGGAAAAAGCAAAGTTCGAATAATGAAGGTCATGGAAGAATACACTCTTACATTGGAAGGGATGTTAAAGGTCACTTTGTCTGACCGCTGGGTATGGGAGTCCCTTGAGGTATGTGAATCCAGTGATAAAACCAATAGCGCTTCTAGACTGTAAACCACACTCATAGCCTAGAAACAAATTCCTATAGTTCCTGGAGTTCTAGAAATTGTGCTGTTATCATGGAGTCATGTGTTGGCATCATTTGCTTTCACATAGCCTCAGTAAAAGTTGATGCATGGCATATATTGCCATGAATTAAATCTGTTTAAAATAGATGTGTCATAATGAGATGTCTTCATTAGTAAGAAATTAAATTCTTATTAAACGAACATCTGAAATTTTCATGGCCAAAACAAAGCTAGGAATATATTTTTGCTGTATTTTTTATTAGTCTGCTCACTAATGTGTCATAAAGATATTAAATGATGATAATGTGAGATATTTCCTTAAGAAGATAAAAATTCTTATGGTCCAATAGATTCTCTTTCTTTTCTAGTGAATAAAATTTGGTCATTTTGGCTCTCAGATCAGTATTTGCTTGGCAGAAATAAATTTTCTCTAAATCTGATGGGAAATTCTTGGTTAAAGGTAACATTTTTGTAATTATGCCATCATGGCACAACAAGAAATGTTATTCTGCTCTAAGACTGAAAAATCAGGTGGAACTGGAATCGGTGATGTTATGCGTAGTATTGCTGGAAGATCTTTTAAAGCGGATAAATGAAGTATTTTAAAATGCCATATTACCAATCAGATTTTTGGCATTTTCAGGTTGTGGGAGAGGGCTGCCTTCTTGTCAAGTTTGCTGACTAGATTCAGAGGAAAATCTATTCAGCCTTACACATTACTAATGATGACCCCAGAGGAGTGGGGGCCGTGGGAGGCTGACCTCGCCTCAGAAGCCCATTTACAAAAACAAAACCAGACCCGGCTCTATGGGGCTAAATGGGATGGCCAAATGTGGAGGTGTGCATGCAAACGAGGGTTTTCTTCTTCAATATGCCCAGCTCATTTGAATTTTAATAACTCCCTTCTGAAGCAGCTTTTGAGTTTAAAAGTCTGGATGTCACTCACTATAGCCCAGTGAGGCTGCTGATAGGAAGGATGACAATTTTGCTGTGCTCTTTTGAGGAAGAAATGGTTTTTAAGAGTAAAAATCATGCCTGGCATAGGCAGAAGCGAGAAAGCTATAGAGATGGCATGGCTTCATTGCCTGTGTGTGCTAATTTTAATTTTAATAACTCATAGAGGAAAAAAAATGCTCTGAGTTACAGAGTTATCTGTGGTTCACGCTTATACCAGAAGGAGATTGGACACCACGATCTCATTTTTAACCAATCAAATTTGAAGTAGTGAATATATTATCTGTTTCCTAATGATTAAGGCTTTTCTCACTTTGAATACTCTAATACTTATGCGATAGAACATATAAGATATTCACAGCATCCATTCCTTCATATAGGCTTACATTTTAAAACCATACCAAATATATTAAATTCTTTCCAGTTTTTAAAGACTTCAGTTAATGATTTTGCTATTCCATGTAACGTTCTCTTTTCTGTCCTAATAGCACTGATCTTCTTATAGCAGATGTATTATGCCTGAACCTTTTTTTGTCATTTATACATTCACATCATCACTATTTATTCCTATGGGCATTCCTTGGCTATGCTAGGCTTTAAATATTTGCTTACAATCTAATTCCTCATATCATGGAATTATTTTTCCCCTAAAGAGTCTCTAATTTTTTACTCTTTTATTTTTATTTCTTTTCTACTTATGTCTTTCCATTTCTGATTTTTGTGTTTCCTCAACCTCATATCATTTTCAGATTTAACTAAGGTTTCATCTACTTCTTTCTTAAAGCATATTAAAAGTAGTAATTTCTGGTGCTAAAATTAGGTATTACTACATAATAGGATTAGTTTTGTTATCATTCTACTGCTAGAGAATGTGACTAACACTTTCTAAGCTCATATTTTTCCATTAGGCTTTAAAGTGCACAGTAAGAAGTATTATGTGAGGAAAGGGTATTTAAATCCATGTAATAAAGTCATTATGAATGATATGCCTTCTTGATATGAAGTCAATGGTCAGTGATCTGTGTAAGTACTGGCCTTGTGCAAAAAATGTAGGTAGGTATATTCTCAGTTAGTCATTTTTGTTCTATTAGCATAAGATATAATTGTTGAGAATGAGTCTAGCCTAAGGAACAGAATAGTGAACTCTGAGTACAGAGTAAGTGATATATGAGAAAGTTGTCCTATTTTCTGATGAAATTATAGAGTTGGTTGCCAAGACTATGTATTACTTTCAAATATTTTAATTTAAAAAATTATTATTAGAAATGAATACATGTGATAGCACTAAGTTCACAAATGGTATAATCTCACCACTTAGAGATAGCCACTAGAGATACTTTAATATAGGTACTTCTAGATGCATGTGTGTGTTATATTGTATCATAAAATTTATATTATTTTGTTGTCTGGTTTTTAAAAATTTAACAACTTTCCGTGTAAGTGGAGTCTAGCTATGTAATTACCACCTTTCTCCTCCAGAAGGAGGTTTGAGGGAAAGTATGTGAAACAATCCTATTTGCATCACTTTCTGGACATTTATCAGTAAGATATGTTTTAGAGGTGTTTGATTTCTAGTTTTAGTTGTAAACATCTTGAAAATATTTAAAAGAAAAAAGTCACTAAGTATCCTATGACTCTCTAACAACTGTTACTACTTTCAGATATTGCTTTTTAGTTCCTCTAATGCACACACAATTTTTACATATTTTCAAGTACACATATATGTTGTATTTTTTTTAACTTAAATGGCTACAGAATATTCTATCAAGTTGATGAATCATAATTAACCATTTCCCTATTGGTAATTTTTTAAATATCCATTACAGTTAAAATCTTTATGCATGTAGCTTTCTCTCTTCTGCATAGAGCTTTCCTTAGGATAAGTTCTCAGCAATATATTAGTGGGCAAGAGTCTGAGGATTTTTGCTGACTCTAGGGATGACATGACTTCATTGCTCTCTGAAAAGGATTGTACCAGTTTTCAGTACCTCAGCCCTATATGAATATGCAAAGCAATGTAGCATAGAGGTTAAAAGCACGCGAATCAGAGTGCCTGGGTTCATATCTAGGTTCCACCACTTGCTGGCTGTGTGACTTCAGGCAAGCTGCTTAAGTCTTTAAGCCTCAATTCCTTCTGTAACGTGGAGAAAATAATTGAATCTTCCTTACAGAGTTTTTATAAGGATTATGAGTCACTTTATGTAAACTTGATGGCAGTGGGTTTGGTTTGGGTTTTAGTTATTTTGAAGAACATCCCTCAACTTGGGTTTGCCTGTTGTTCCTCATTTTAGAGTTGTCAGGTTATTCATTTTTGTTAGGAGTATCACAGAAATGGTGTTATGCTCTTAGAAAACAAATAAAGAAGATGCCCCTGCTAGTAATAATATCGTATTATAAAGCAAACCAACATCTAGATAAACAAATGACAACAATAAAAAGCAGTCAGATATAAAACACCTTAAGACTGCTTTAATTTACATTTCATCGCCAGAAATGAACATTTTTGCATGTGTTTACTATTTGAAAGTTATTTTATTTTGAACAGTTTTTTTAAATTTTCACCTTTTAAAAAACTTTTTATTTTGAACTAATTTCAAACTTACAGAAAAGTTACAAAAACAGTCACAGAACTCCCATATTTCCTTCACCCAGAGACCCTATTCATATTTCACTAACTATACCAATAATGTCTTTAATAGAAAAAGGATCTAACCAAGAATCTTGTACTGTACTTATTTTTCATGTCTCTTTAGCCTCCTTCAATCCAGAACAGTTCCTCTCTCCTTCTGTGACTTTCATGGTAACATTTTTTTTTTTAATCAGAGGCTAATTATTTTATAAGGACCCCTGGTGGTGCAGTGGTTAAAGCTATCGACTGCTAACCAAAAGGTCGGCAGTTCAAACCCACCGGTAGCTCCCTGGGAGAAAGATGTGGCAGTCTGCTTCTGAAGAGATTTACAGCCTTGTAAACACTATGAGGTCATTATGAGTTGGAATTGACTCGACAGCAGTGGATTCTTTGAGTACTTCC